CATGTCTCTGTAATTGCCACCAGATCATAAAATCATAAATTTTAGATCCCTTTATACCATTCTAGGCATAAAACGTCACCTTTACACCCCAGGTTTGGCAGTCTGAAAATGCTAGAGAATGAAATAGATCTCACAGAATTTGGGGGTCTCCAGCCTGCTGTTTATAGCTCCTATTTCTCTGACTCCTATCCTTTTTTGGGCCTAAAACAAAGCCTGGTGAAATCAGCAAGAGTTTGTCAACCATCTCAGCTATGTACTGGGTTAGATCTCACACCTCCAGTGAGGGCTGGGCTACACAGGAGAGCCTTGCCGTTTACAAATTACAAGCAGGGACTGACACATTCTTGTAAATATACAGAAGGGATCTGTGTTTTACAGAGATAAGGGAAAGTGGAGAATTACTTTCTCTTTTCCCAGCAATTTTTCCACACACACACATTGTATTTTGTCAAACCAATCTAGTATCCCAAGTCAATGAGTTATTGACAGGCTGATGACATGAACATTCACAGCTTTAAATCACTTTTTCTTTGAGAACTTTTAAATAACTGCATTTTTGTTCAAGGAAATCTTGACTTTAAAACAAAAGGCCTGCAGGGAATCCATAGATTGTTAATTGTGAAAGATAGGTCTTGTGGTTTTCCATGCTGCTGATCATATATAGAATCCCAGATGACCAGCAGATCTCATTTTATAATCATGTTGCGTGGGGAGTTCAGACTGAGTGTTACTTGTAATTCTGTCACTTATTTCTACTGTTTCTTTATGTCTTCAGCGTTCTTGGTCTGTCCTCAGTCTTTCACATTTTGTACTGTTGCTTTATTACAGTGTTTTCCAAATTTTTGAAGTAAAAGTCTTTCAAGATGAGCAACAGTCCTTCCTTGGGAACTGACTGAAAGCCAAATGATCTTTATTCATATAGCTATTGCCTTACACATCCCCTCTTTGGAAATCACTGTTCCATTGTATGCTATTGCTTCCTTGTCCCTACAAGCCTTGATGAGTAGTAAAATACAGTGTTGACATTTGAAATACTGTCACTGGCATGGTCGATGCGTGAGTGGATGACTGACAGAGTTTTCTCCTCAGAGCTGATTTTTTGGGGGGCCTCTCTGCAATTTCAGGCTCTAGTGATGGGGTTTTTTTGTATCAGTTATGCTTGCCGTGCATTTTCAAGCCTTGCTTTGCAAACATACATGAGGCTGTTCTTTTCATTAGAGTTGCTATTGTCCATGCCCATCCAGTGCCTTGTTCTTCAGCTGCTCCAAAAGATTTGTGCAGCACTTCAGAAATAACAACTGCATCACAGGAGTTAAATATGAAAAGATGTAATTCAGAACTTGCACAGCCTTTACATGCCAGTCACAGACTGTCACCCAGGGTGTATTATCAGCTTGAATAAGCTTCCCATGTTTTAGGTTCACAGTTTGTCACTACATTGTTATTTTCATTGCTGTGTCTTTGATCTCACAAAAAGCTCTGCACTGGTCGAGGAGTCTGTTGACACAGTCCCCTTTGCCCGTGTGGGCCTTTGAGCTCATTACAGGGCAAAGGAAGGATCAAGAAAGCAGAGCTTCAGAAAACATTGTAGTTGCCAAATAACATAGCATTTCTAAAGTTGTTCTGTGTCTTACTGTGGGCCTCTGCTTCAGATCTGAGCTTTCACAGATTGCTCTCCACATCATTCTTTCATTGTAGCTGTGACAGTATTAGTGGTACTTACTTACACACTGTCAGTGTGGAGGAATCCATCCCACGCAGGAATTGCAATACAAGCAGAAAATGGGTGGACACTTTGCCCTGAGGTTACTGTCTGAAGGTCTAGACTGTAACAGGTGAGTGGATACAGAGAGATGGAGAAGCAGGAAGAAATTAAGTTATGAGCGCTTATTACCTAGCACTACTGCTGAGAGCTTGGTCAGTAATCCCTTTTTGTTTTCCGATGTGTCTTTGCTGGCACAGAAGATCCTACCCTGTTCTTCAGATCATTTGGTCTAGTGCCAGTGTCAGGAAGCCCCAGCTATGTGGTGCTGGGCTCCATACACACATCAGCACAAGACAGTCACTGCCTGAAAGCACAGTCTAATAACTGAAGTATCATGAGGACCACTGATGGTGCATGGTTTTAAAGTACATGGCCACTGTTTACCTGAAACCTGATAGTAAAACATGTATTCCATGTCTCAAATCACCAGCCATCTATTAACACACTCTGCTAGTCAGCATTATAGTATGAGCAGGCTAAGAGGGTTTTCCCTTCCATGTGGTGTGTGCACTTTTGTTGCTGATATTTATCGAGAGATACTTTTACAATAAAAATTATGGACAGTTAAAAGCATATCAGGAAGCAATACCTTGAGATTTCATATTCAATTCAAGTGCATTTGTAAAATAAGTTTTTTTGTGGTACTAATGGAAATTTCTGAATCTATACATGTCCTTTTCTCCAAACTGACATAATTTTAACATGAGAAGAACTATCTGTACATCTTTGACTTGTCATTTATTAGAAAAAACTCAGAATCTTAATGGTTGACATTGGAGAAAAAGGGTCAAGATACAGACAAAGTTCCTCTGTTTTACAGAAGAAGAAAAAAGGGGAATATATTTGCTTCTGGTTATGCTAATTCATCACTCCAAGCAGGGTGTGATTGCATTCTGTCTAGTCAGTTCTTTTCTTCCTATCTGAAAGAAGAGATAGAGCCAAAATAAAGGGCATTGGAGATGGACAAGGAAAATAATTGAGTCACAGAGAGTCTTCTGTTTGAGGAGGGATGGGAAAGATAGGGATTGTTTTAATTTAAAGAAGAGACAAATAAGAGAGGACGTGACAGTAGTGTACAGAATGATGAATGATACAGAGAAGGTGAATTGGGCGCTCTTGCCCTATCCTTAAGTGCAGAAACAGAGGGACGTTCAATAAAGCTGAAAGGCAAAAATAGTAACACTGTTTAAATGGAATTTGTAAGCAGTAACTGCCTTGTTTCCACAGGCTCATCTTGTTTCTCCAAGATGTTAGAGCATATATTGAAGGGGATGCAAAAGACCCCTGGAAAATTAATTCAGGTTGTCCTGTTGAGATGATGATGTGGATGTACTGCAAAGACTACTGAATGGATCAGGTTATATGGCTTGTGTGAAGGAGAAGAACTAGTTAGATGGTCTTAATGATCCTTTGTAGCCTTTGAAAGAGTGGAAGTTGCATAAGATATTGCATGTAATGAGACTATCCATACATTTGCTAGATAGAGTTAAAAAGTAACTATTCAAGGCAGAAATCTATTGTTGCTGGAAAGAATATTGTTCTGCAGTTGTCCCCCGTGTGATTCTTTGCATGTCTTCCTGAATATCTGCTCGTGACCCTTTTATGAAAGGCTGATATTCTGCCACATTGGCTCAGTGCTCTGCTGTCAAGGCCAAGCAGACTTCTGTCCAAGAGGAAGTTGTAGGAAATACATTTATTCTTCCTGAATATTCCTTTCTGGTATTCTCTTGCTTTTGGATATTCCACTTACTATTAATCTTTAATTAATAAGTTTTTACCAAGATTCAGAAGAAAATTTGTTTTGATCAGTAGATTCTAGGGAACTTCAATAAACAGAGTAAATTGTAAATATATCTCTTCCCCACCATTCTTAGATAAAAAGGGGATGGTGAAACATGCAAATGGCCTATCGATGAGTGTGATTGCTTTCTGGTTAGATTATTACAGTATCTGTTTAGATCCATTGTTACTTATAGACTTGATCCCTGACAGACTTTTTGTAGATTTGCAATTATTTTCTAATTCCTCGACATACTGCGTTATTTCATGTAGTACAATCCTAACCCGCCTGTGGTGATCATCACTTCAAAGCTTAGTTCCTGCAGTCATTTTGAGTGCTGTGCCTGCCTTGTTTCTAATGTCTGTGTCTAGTCTGTTGTGGTAATGTCTGTGCAATGATTAAGACCTGGATCACATGTGCAAGATAGACTTTTCTTTCCTGCCTCAGTTTCCCCCTACTTTAAAATGGGTGAAACACCTCAGAGTTTCAGAATGAAAACCACTCACTATGATACAGGGAAAATTGCATTTTTTTGTAGTGTTTTCTCGTGCCTTGTAATTAATTCTTTGTTTCTTACCTGCCTAAAAGACATCCTGAATGCCGCTGCTGACATTCTTAGTATTAAACTTTGTACAGCTATTGAGAATGTTAAATATTTACTAGCCAACAAGAACAGATGTATTTTATGAATCTTATAAAGTATATAATTTGTAAAAGTTTGTAGGAGGAGAAACTTATTTGTGTGTTTTTGTGTGTCCACGTATATGCTATGTGTATATACAATACATAGTTAAGAATGTATTTGCCCACCACTGCAGTGCAGCTGCCTCTGGAATGGTTACGGATGTTATCTTGGCAGCCCTGAAATACCATGCTACAAGATGATAAAGAACAGTTTAGGCATTTGAAATTACAGAGAAGATTTAATAGTAAGGGTAATTACGTAGTCAGAGGTATGCAAATTTTATGGCTAAACTTAAGTGAAAAGAAGCATTCAGTCTAAATTTTTGGCATTTGTCAAAAGCCCTCAAAACCCATCTAGGCTGCAGGCTAAGCTGCCTTTCATAAATCTAAGCCGAAGACTTGCTATGACTTTTAAAGACTAAATTATTTCTATTGTTCTCAAGTAATTACATTTTTGTTGTTATCTGTGGAAAGAGCCCCACTGGGTTGAGCATGTAAGTATATGCAGGTGGGGGGAGGAGGGTTTGTGTTACTTAAGTGGAGACGATAAAGCTGAAAACGTAGCAGCATGGCATAAATCAGATTTTTTTTTTTTTCTTTTTCTAGTTGGCTCGTCACAATAAAACATTGCAACAGATGCTGAAGCCAGGGTCAGATCCCGATGAAGGAGATGAAGCCTTGAGGTATTATGCCAATCATACAGCACAGATAGAGGTAAAGAATTGCTCACTAGAAGATTGAATATGAAACAAGTTTGCATCTTGTGCATGGTGTATCACCTCTTTTTAAGCTCCTGAACAGCAAAGCTTATTCAAATAGTGTAGGTTATTTATGAGAAGGAGAAGGTTGAATAATATGCTTTTGGCTGTAGGAGAAAAAGGAATGTGCCTATATGAAAAGTGGCTCCAAATAATAATTTTACAGTAGCTTTCCTGTGTGTTAGCAAACATGTTTTGTTAGGGAAATAATGACTGTGGATAGTAGCTGTGTCATGAAGTCAAGAATAATCTTGTATGGTACATCACTCAAATAAATAATAATGAGTTTCAAAGCCAGTGATGCTAACTGATCAAATTAAAAGTTTGGCTTAAAGAGGTTTTGAAGTGGTGTAGACATTCAGTATGGCTTTTGTTGTAAAGACCAAGGCTTGGCCTGGTTCATCAGTTCTGTTCTCTATTTTAAACTTGCCCCCTGCCATGGATTGGATTTAGATCAAGATCCACAGAGACATTTAGGTTCTTAACTATTATATCAGATCCTGTGTTCTTACAGATTTCATGGGATTATAGGCATCAAGACAGGAGTTAGGCACTGTAGTATCTCTAGTCCTTAGTGACTTTGTAAGGCGGAGAAGTTCTATCATGCAAAGGCAGCTGCTGCGAGAGACCGAAGGAAGAGGAGGCATCTGCCTCCCTTTTGGAAATGCTGTATCAGGTTCAAAATTGTCCGAGTATGAAAACTGTACAGCATGGTTGCACACAGGCCCAGCCTGAATCTGAGCCAATGGTTTTACCTCCAGTGGGCTCCCAGGCTCCATCAACACTGGACCTGAGCTTGCATGCGTAGGGAACAGTCTGATGCAAGCACCTCAGGTCGTTATTGTCCTGGCTAGTCACATTATCCCACCACAGGACAGATGGAAGCTCCATGGCTGTGATGGTCCAGGGGGCAGCTTAGTGCTCCCCTTAACATATTTTAATACTTCGAGTGCTCCTGAGGTATCTCTTCGGAAGTATCATCTGAGTTATCTGGGTAGGTTGTAAATTTAGGCATTAAACAAGCACTATGATCTGCTTTTGTGTGACCAATAGCTTCTTCCTGGTGTAGTTTCTGACATCTGCTAAAACCTTGCGGCTGCAAAGCCTGTTCCTCGAGCAGATATGGAGGCCTCTGCTCTCAGGGAGGCTTTTTAAATGTCATTCTGCAGAGCAGCACATGCAGCCTACCTCTTCATTTGAGTCTCTGACTGAATTGAAGGCACGCCATCAGCTTTCTTCACTCGCCCCACTGGGTTAACTGCTGGTCACATAGTCCCGTTGTACAACTGCTGGCCTGAGACACAGCTATTTATTTCAGACACTCAAAATTGCTTGTTCAGATTTCACATAATGTACAGACCCGTGGGCAGACATGAATGTAGTTGTCCTTAATCTGTAATGCAAATGTGCTTGAATATGTTACTCTTCAAAATAACTTAAGACGTGGTTTTTAGAATGTTCACATACTAAATATGAATTAACAGAGAGAAAGGGAGGCTCTAGAACACAGGGCTGTGACTCGAAAAGTGAAACTCAACCCAGCATTGCTGCTATATCAAGTGAAGGTTTGCTGGTCTTTCACTGGAAGCAGTCCTAGATCTGTTTGGCATTTCCGATATAGCTCCTCTGTATCAGGGTATCTCATTTGTTTGATTTGAAAGTCAAATAGTGGGGTTTTTTCATTGCTGACCATAGGGAGACATGGGTCTAAGAGTTTTCTACCCATTTCTGTATTATTAGTAATGCGGAGTCCATGATCAGAATGGTGAAGCAATTTTGATGACAGTGTGGTGAGATGGAATAAAATCTATCTCACTCATGATAACTCAGTAGGCCCTGAAATACAAACAAAGCGAAACCTTGGGTTTTGCCAAGTAAACAGTTAAAAACTGACTAGATATGGGTGCTCTCTTAGTACCAAGGCACTATTTTTGCATGTGCACCTTCACAACTTATCACAGAAATAGACTGAAGGTGCAAAAAGAATTTCATAACCTGAGCAGAAAGCCCCTGAACTTCTGCACTGTTTACTGAGAGAGATTGATTTCAATTTATCACAAAATTGAAGCATTCTGAATTAGAACATTTTTTATATTTGGGGGAAATTTGGACCTAGGTTTTGCTTGAGACATATATTTGCCACCTTATTTTCAGGTAGACTTTTGTAGACAGAAAAGCAGTTTTACATTGTTTTAGGATTGATTGGTTCAACTTCATTGTAATGTGCAAATAATTTATGCATTAATTTATAAATAAAAGGGGAGATGTGAATTAGAAAAGATACAACAAAATGGTTGGAAAGTCATCGAACCTTAAGAAAATGTGCATTTTATTTATAGATTGTTCGGCATGATAGAACAATGGAACAAATTGTCTTCCCTGTCCCCAATATTTGTGAATTCCTCACTCGGGAATCCAAAAGTCGGGTATTCAATACAACAGAGAGAGATGAACAAGGGAGCAAAGTCAATGACTTTTTCCAACAGACAGAAGATCTGTACAACGAGATGAAATGGCAAAAGAAAATAAGGAGTAAGTATTGCAGTTTCAAAAAATAGCTTCATTATGATAAAACCCTGCTTTTAAGCCTTCAAATTTTTTTTCATTTTAATGATACACTTTTCTCTGTTCACTCCAATACTGCAACGGGCAAAACTGTTCAGAGCTTGAGAGAGTCAGCAGAGTGTAGGTCAGCTGAGACACTTGCATGCCACCATAAAAGAGGCATAATATGGAGCAGTTAGTAATATAAGTAATGTGTTCAAGATGATGTTTTGGACTCCAAAAGTTAAACTGAGGGATGGATGAACTGGGTGTAGTTCCACTAAACTCTATTGAGTTGCACCTAATTAAGCCAAGGACCTTAATATTTAACAAAAACATGTGTAGCTGCATATTTGAGGTTTGCAGATTCCTAAAAGACCAATAAAAAACTTGTAAATGTCAGTCACTTAAAAACATCTCTCACCAGAACCTCAGCTGCTTTAAATCTGCCTGACTCCCATGGAGTCAGTTCCCTTTTGCCAGTTCACATCAGTCTTGCTTGACGAGGCTGCAGTATGTCCCAGTCTGTTAGCCCATACTGGTATATGTCCTCTGGTAGTGGGAAAGGTATATGTAGCGCCTTAAGCTGCTTGCAGATCTCACAGGTGTGGTCAAGATCATGGGTGAGAGATCCAAACAGGGACCTGAAGAGGAGGTGAAGTAAAGCCAAGCCAGGTACCCTGAGTTTCTTGTTTAGTTCGCTGGTGGGCATTACAGAGAATCAAGGCTGCAAACTAATTAAGCATCTACAGTATTCTTGAGGGATAGGTTATATTTTATATAAGTATATATATCCAAATATATGAGTGATGATTTGTTCACTGCTAAAATGCAGGTGCTGCTGGGGTGGCACACATCAGCTGTTGAACAGCTCACAGCAGCATTATGCAATTGATTAGGAAGGATGTGAAGAAAAGGATCTACGGTGAGAGCAGCAGGGAGTTTGGATAGTCATAGAATCGTTGAATGGTTTGGGTGGGAAGGGACCTCTAAAGGTCACCTAGTGCAACCCCCCTGCAGTGAGCAGGGACATCAACTAGATCAGGTTGCTCAGGGCCCCAGCCAACCTGACCTTGAATGTTTCCAGGGATGGGGCTTCTACCACCTCTCTGGGCAACCTGTGCCAGTGTTTCACCACCCTCATTGTAAAAAATTTCTTCCTTATATCCAGTCTAAATCTTCCCTCTTTTAGTTTAAAACCATCACCCCTTGTCCTGTCACTATAGGCCCTGTAAAAAATTTGTCCCCATCTTTCTTATAGGCCCCCTTTAAGGACTGGAAGGCTGGTATAAGGTCTCCCTTGAACCTTCTCTTCTCCAGGCTGAACAACTCCAACTCTCCATGAAAGCAATATGGATTAATGTAGCATCCTTAACGTGAGGGAAACATGAATGTTGGCTGCAGTTTTTATAAATGTCCCAGGCTATAATTTTCAGAGACAGTAGTAAGTTTTCAGTGTGAATCCTATCGGCCCAGGTTCCGCTTCCCTTGGTGGCACTGTAGGAACTTGTCTGTACTGAGAAACTGACCAGGTAAAAGTTGAGAAATAAATTATTCCAGAAAAAAATCTCTATTTCACAGTCTATTTGGGAATAAAAGTCACTATATTGTAGCAAAATTACTCTAGTAACTAAATCATATCTGTGTTTTTTGCTTAATAAACACAAATAAAAGAGCCCAACTCTACACTTACATAGACCAGACCTGCCTAATGCTGTAAGCAAAGAAAATTGGTTTATTTTTATTCAGAACAGAAATTCCTCAATTCCTTTCATCAGTGGAATGGCCCATAAGTCTTCATGTAGGTTTTTTTTATTTGAAAAGATAATACAGGTTGAGGCTTGGTTCTTTCTTTAGCCAAGTGACTCTTAGCATGCAATCTGCCTTGCTTAAATTGACGCGTGTCATTTGCAATGGCTCCAGATGCTTAAATACCAGCAGCCAACAGCATAAGGTTATCACAATGAAATCTGAATATTTACCTAATCACAATTAAAGTCTTTTTAGACTAAAGCCTGAAACAGTCATATGCAACTGAAGGAGTCTACTGTTTATAAAAAGTTAGCTGCAAGTCAAGAATGTGCTCTGTGTACTTTCAGGAGGCTCTTGGTGCTTTAAAATCTAATTAATAGGAATACATTGTCTTCAAATAAACCTCTCTGGCTAGAATTTTTTTCACATCATTGCACACAGAATCTTGTTTTAAACATTCATTTAAACATGTTGTAATGCAGTCATATATATGAAGTGCTTGCCTGAGGCTTAGTACCCTCTGATCTTGTTCCTAGCCTTTTTGCTAATTATGTGACTCTGGACACAAAATCTTAACCCTGTTTTGCCCTATTTCCCTTTTTAATGTTTTCTAACTAGGTTATAGGTTCTTTGGGATATAGACTATTTTTGTGTATTTGT